TCTGATTTGGAACGTCGCGAACTCGAGAGGTAGGCACGGAGCTTCGTGCAGTCACCAACCGTACTTACCGATGTTTACAGGATGGTTGCCGAAGCGGCTCAGCCCAAGTCGAAACAGCCTGCGACCAAGTCGGCTAAAGCAAAGAGAGAGGAGATGATCCGACGTGCTGAAGAAGCCGAGGGGAAGGAGAAGGCAACTCCTGAAGCAACAGCAACGGCATGAAGAAGTTCCTTTCACTATGACTGAATCAATACCCCGGATTTCTGCACTCCCTTTCCAATAGCACTGACGACTGCCATTTTGCGTCTTATATTTTGAATGTATCAGGGATATTGTTTTAGTTTGGGGTGTTGGATAGTCCCCTCCAGGATGTCGCTAATTTGGACCTTAATGCTATAATTTACAGTTTCGTTGCTCAGTAGAATGATTTGCGTATGATACATATACTATTACAACCACTGAAACCTATCCTGGATCGTGTACTCTTGGGAGTAAACTATGGTTGGCTATAATACGAAGTGTTTTTATGTTGAAACTTTCTTATACTTGACTCTATGCTTTAGATGCATGGAATGCGTTCTGGATCTTTTCAAATTATCATCAGCTTCAAGAAGAAAAGATGTTATCAACGCTTACCTTTTCGAAGAATACGTTGTCACTCAACACCCGAAATCCTGTGATAGCTAGACCCTTCGTCACCAGCATTGTAGCAGCATGAGCTGGTTTGGTAGCCGCAGCTTTAGCAAATGCTGGCGTGTGGTTACCGCCTTGCGGTTCGGTTGGGATGGCTGGAAATAATTAGTGAATATGTAACGTAGGCGATCATATATGGCATTACCGTGCTACTTACCAAACATCGGATGTAATGAAGGAAGCTCTGGTGCGCCAATAAAATTAATCAAACCCTGACATGCAATAAATCGTAAATAATCCACGCACCGTATGAAATATTGCCCTGTCATGATTTGGCTTTCAATGGAGCTGAGTAAAGAAATATAAATACGCACGAAATCTGTCGACGCTGACGTGCCGACATGTGTCATTTGCAAGCCATAGCGACTACCGACAATATCGGCAAAATCTTGGGCTATTCTGAATCGTGAGGATAGGCAAGAAAAGATGAGAACGGGGAATTTGTACCCAGGACGGCATTTTGATGCAGATCAAAATATGGCGTATCGAGCTTCAGTTTGATTGTACAAGATGTCGCAAGAGCAGCGGCTCTGATAAAGCGTAAATCCTCTGAATCTGCATGTGGGGGGAGATGAAAGTTTACTCAAAGCAGTTCTTCACCCTTTCCACAAAAGCCATCAATTCCCCATATGTGGGAGCTCTCACACACCATCGCATTTGAGCATAATCCGGGATGACTACACAATGTTCAGCTGATGATGCTAAAGGAAAAGAGAATTTACCATTCGGCGCCCAATTTTTCCCTAACACTATCCCATGGACACGGTGATCTGGCTTCATTTGTTGTCTAAGCACAGAAATGCTGGAGTAGGCAAGAAATGCCGCGTCCAGCGCGTTTGCTCCTTCCCTGTCATCAAGTTAGCTAGTGTATGCCACGCAGTAAGGATATATGCTTACCACGGAGCAGCTCCGGCATGAGCGCTGTATTAACCGTTAAGCACGGCTGGTAGGAAAGTGGATATCGAAAGAGCATTTACCTGCGCCCAAAATACTCAACTTCAATCGGCTGCATGGCAATCGAAGACCCGACACTCGTCGAATGAGGAAAGCCAGGTCCAGGATGGCACCTATTTTATATCGTCAAAAACGAAACCCCACCAATTTGTCGAGATTTAGGTGCGTTACATTATACAAGCATCCATGTCTTTATATCCTCCTCGTTCAAGAAGAATTACTTTGCCCCCTCCACCTTCTTCCGCTGGTTATAATGTTGTTATCGGTTGGTTCTGACTGGCATATTTTATTTACTCACCAGGTGTCCCAAGGAGAATAACTTTACCAGGTATGTTCTGGGATTGCATTGCCGCCTTGACAGCAATCGCAGTCCCAACTCCACTAATTGCGATGAGATTGTGTCCACAAGCATGACCCATACCCCGAAGAGCATCCATCTCTGAATTAATGCCGAGCACTCTCCCACCCTCTCCCTGAGAATATTCTGCTCTCCATGCAGTTTTCAAACCAAGGTAATGCTTGGTAACCACGAAGCCATGGCTAGTCATAAATTTAGTCAATAAATCATGGGCATGTCTAGTAAAATGCAGGTCAGAAAAAGTTAGAAGGAAGATGGCTGTAGTGAATGCTTACTTTTCTTCAAACATGGTCTCCGGATGGGCTATAGAGTAAAATAAGTATGATTGATTTTCTCGTAGAAGGTAGGCGCAACAGTACAGTGTATTTGCAAGCTCAGTGTCCGCAGTTGTGAATCGAGCTCGTCTACAGTGTTTTCAACTACTTTCCACGCGTCAGAGTCCCTAGGTATGGATTGTATTTGGGAATATGATGGAGGGGTCTCAGATGTAAGCCACCATTCGTTTGGAGACGCATAAGAGAAGTCACAGCATGGACTAAATGTATTCACATCATCGTAGCTCTTTTAATTCAATTCATCAGTTTATCTTATAACAAAGAAGCTACTGTGACTCACCTCGCAGTTCTCGCTAGCTTCGTCGTGAGTGACAGAATAAGAACATCGACCGGTACACTGATCGACTGCCCTACACGGAGGGATATCATCCGAAGAGCGTCGATTCTTGAACCTCCTGGTAAAAAAGCCACCGAAGCAACCAACCTTAGGAGTACTCGACATTATTTGAAGGTATGAGGTTCAACGAACTGAGCGACAGGATATACAGAGACGGGAATAGTAGAGAATCAAAGACACGAAGTTAAAGGAGCTCAAGTTGATCATTTTGTAGTTTAGATCTAGCTGAGATCCAGAAAATTCAGTCTGAGATCTTGCTTTGAATGTGCTTCCGTAGCACTGGGCGAGGAAAGACGAGCGTTCCGGTGAGAGCGGGATCGCTAGCCAAGGACCTGGGTGGAACACATGAGAGGAACGAAAGGCATCAAAAAGTCAAACAGTAGTGAGGAACTGTGAGAAGCAGGGGCCCGAAGAACGCATGCGCACAATCACCTTCTGCATAAACACTCCTAAACGAGGCTCGCATCTATTCTTTTACGATTTACTCTTCTCTTCGATAGCCTGTTTTGATAATTTCTGGCACTATTTTTAATCCTCTGTTCACATTATGTGATATGCAAGTCTGGTGTAGTACTCATGGTACTCTACGGCTACATACTTAAGGCGGTGGATCTATTTTTCTGTAGGAAACCTTTTCCTTTGTTCTGAATGCTACTCCTGATCATAGGACCCAACTATTTGAATCTCTTGAATATGGGACTCAAAGGCAGAGCCAGAATGTTATAACACATCCAACTGCATATTTAAAAAGGGAAAGGAAGTTGTAAAAGTGAAACTGTGTATTTCGATTAAATTTACAATATCCCATAACATCTATGAAAGTTCGTAAACACAATAGAAAATATAAGTTGTAATTAATGTTTCCGGCGCATAAGTTTACTCCAGAAATTGCTTGCAGATTTTGGTGCATATTCATCACGGCCACTCAAACCCACAATAATCTTTCCAGTATAAGAGCGCAATTGGCAAAGATCACCAACCTGGCTGGGAATGCCGTCATATCCAGCCGCTGAACTTTGATTCCCTATCATAAGGATGACCTCCTCTTCGGTGGCCTTTAGCTGGGTGCTAGCTGAAGATAGGCCAGAGAGAATGTTCAGATCGCCTCTTCTTGTGTTGAGTTGGATGACACCGGAAAATGTCTTCGGGATGAATACGATGATATCACCTAAATGTTCGACTGAGGTGTTGAGGATTGGGGTGTCATAACTTCAAACTGGAGCTTCACCTGTTCGTGAGTAGGCATCGACTGCCATCCGCGGACGTGTGGTCGTTGTCTCCAGCTGCCTATATGTCAGCAAGTAATAGAGATGACTCTAGTGAAATATCACAGACCAGATTAATCATTATGTTACCACTTCGACTTGAGATGGATACGGTTGCCTGTGGTATGTCGTATATATTTCCAGTTGTAGCAAGGTTTAAGGATATAGCCCCCTTGCGAGAATGAAAGGAAGCATGGTATAGCAACTCCTTGCGTGTTTTTTTCTTCGTTGTAATCTCGGCTTCAAGCGCAGGCGTTGATGGATCAATGAAAAATGCGCCTGTTGTATCCACGTCGTCAGTCTTTTGTAAACCATAGTCAATTATATTTTGGGAGCACACCTGTAATGTCCGTATCCCCAGAATGGAGATGTACTTGGTTTACAGAAGGTGCAGGATCATTTGTACTATTTGGAGTAGACGGGAGGGGCGGAGTAGAAGGGCCAGCCACATTTATATCGACAGGTTGGGTATAGCTTAAGGAATGGTACGGAGGAGGCTTGCTATTGCTAGTCTGCTGAACCATGGCGGTGAGTTTGCGGCATTCGCGAGGTGAGTCGAAGTATGTTACCTTGCGCACCAGACTTCCAGGAGACGTCTGCAGAGCGTGTCTTGAGGCATCCACTATCATGGCTAGAAGAGAACGGGTTTACCGCGTCTAACTCTTCCACAGCCAACACCTTTTGTATCTGATGGCTGCTGCGGATTTAATAATATTCTGAGCGGCTTTCGACAACCGCGTCCCTGAACATGATACGGTAGCATTGTGCACTGCAATCAAACAGCAGTACACAGACCGAGGAAGAATACTTGCTGGGGGTATCGTTCGATACACAGCCTGAGTCTGACATGTTAATCTATTTATATAATCCGCTATTGTAGGAGAAAGATAAAAACATCCTACGGGCCTGACTGGGAATTGAACCCAGGGCCTCCTCGACATTGTGCTAACACCCTAACAAGGAATCATACTACTAGACCATCAGGCCAACAAATTTCGCAGGAGCAGTCTTTGTAGAGGTTCAATCAAGAAATTAAATAAAGGAAGACTAACGAAAAAGGGCCTGACCGGGAATTGAACCCGGGACCTCCTCGATTTAAGCACCAGAAGGCGCTGGAGAATTGAAAGCTCCCGAACGAGGAATCATACTACTAGACCATCAGGCCGATGAAAATTGGAACATTTATTACAGTTTGGTCATCTCCCTACAATGCACTTTATGAGCATTTAAACTTACCATCCACAAAGACTTGCTTACTTATAGTTACCCAACAATTTCCATACGATAAACGGCAATAGCCTGACACATATACCGGCAATATGCCAGAGCTGCTTAAACTTGGCCTCTAGGGATGGACTTACGGGTAGTGATCAATTGGTTGCTATAATAGCATCATTCCGGTACCCTGCCGGTACAGCCTACCAATTCACGCATCCTTTTCTATATACTATACATCTATTATTGTTAAACAGTATGAGAACTACAAGCACACACTTTCAATAGTTCATATTATTGAATAAACGTATATTTGTTTAATCTTGTATATGTAATGAACTGATACATTAAAAAAGAAAGGAGCGACGACTAATCACAAAATCAAAAATGAACGCTGCGTGTAAGCAGGGCATACTTACTAGGCGCCATTTGTTATATACTGTCCGACGTTAAGAAACATATTGTTTCTTAATAGTTTTTACCTAATGGTTAAAATGAACCAGTTGCGCTCGGACAAGCAGTAGGCTTTCACTTGGTCTAACTAGCATTGAACCCGGAACGTCCTCAAAACTAACCTTGATTCACTTCTCAGCAATTTGAAAGAATCGTCCTACACGTCTATCAGCCTTCAAAGTTCAGACCAGTGACTTTCAAGCAGATCTTGACGCCAACGACTGCAGTATCTGTGAGCTTACTTTTAGGTGGGTATAGCTTTTACATAAATAAAGCGATATTATTGAATTTGGTACTAGTGAACACCTTTTAATATTCACTAGCACAAGTTGTCGGGAAATTCAAGCTCCCAGGGAGCTGAAGGTGATAGCGTTTGAAATAAATAGAGGAAAACATGTCATGGGTACAGCACCCGAAGCACTGCACTGACGCGATACTCAACCCTCCCTTCCACTTGTATTGGTTCGCGCTCTTTTGCTGCTGCTCTGCCAGCCATGGCATCTGTGGCACAATCACCGCAGGGCGATGTTCTCAACCAAATATTTGCCGGGCTCAAGAGCAAGAATGCGGAGATCAGGCAGCAGTCAGCTGTGGAACTGCGTCGTTTTGTGGGTATTCATCCTCACGACTCTGCACTGGCCTAATTTTCAACATTCAGGTCTCTACTGCGATAGCGGAAATGTCATCTGATACAGCATCGAAGTTGTGGGACGATAATATCAACCGAAGGCTCTTCGACCTTACCCACAGCCAGAATAGTGCAGAGGCGTTTGGTGGTTTATTGGCAATTGGTGTGTAGTCACTGACTCAGCCTCAAGCCAGCCATTAATTATGATGCATAGATAAATTGCTTGACATTGATCAGGAGGAAACCATCGAGTCGAAACGCAACCTCTTTCGTTTCTACAACTATGTCAAGCACCTGCTTCCTCACCCCGATGTAAACCTCATGCTGGCAGCTTCGAAAACACTCGGGCAGATTGCCGAAATCGGTGGCCAGGCATTCGGAGAACGCTTTATGGACTTTGAGGTGCCGGCAGCAATTGAGCTCATGCAGCCGGATAAACAGGACTCTCCGCGATACGCTGGCGTCCTCATTCTGAAGGAGTTGGCCCGCAACAGTCCCACATACTTTCATTCTCACATTGGAATCGTTTTCGATAACATTCTAGTTCCACTTCGGGACCAACGTGTTATTGTTCGAGAAGGAGCGGCGGAGCTATTGGCTGCTTGCTTGGATATAGTGACACAGAGAGAACGCCAAACTCGAAGTCCATATCTTAACAAGATCTTACAAGATGCCCAGACTGGGCTCAAACAGTCACAACCTGAAATCATTCACGGCTCTTTACTGACGTACCGAGAGCTTCTGCTTCATGCAGGCATGGTCCGTGCTTTGTTGTCCCACTTTCTTAGCTAGTGACTAAGCAGTTTTTATACTTTAGTTCATGAAAGAGAACTTTCTGGATACTGCAGACCAGATACTACGCTTTAAGTCACATCGTGACCTTCTCGTACGCAAGATGGTTATCACGATGATACCCTCACTAGCAGCGTACGACACTCAAACCTTCACTGAACATTTCCTCCACAAGGCAATGGGCCATCTGTTGACCCAGCTGGACAAACCTAACGAACGATCTTATGGTATGTCTATATTGACATGGATGAACATCTTTTCTGAGTCTATCTTCACCAGCTTTCATTGCTATTGGGCATACTGCGAATGCTGTTGGTAGTGATATGAAGCCTTTCTTGGATTCAATAATGCTACATATCAAGCAAGGACTCCAAGCACGCGGGTTCGTCATATATCCCCTATTAACTGTGATTGTTCTTATATTTTTGCTAGCCGCAAGAATGCTCCTTCAGAAGAGTATATCTTCCAATGTGTTGGTATGCTTGCAGGGGCTGTCGGTCCTAATTTAACGAAGCTTCTGCATGACCAATTGGATCTTATGCTGGCATGCGGATTAAGTGAACCTCTTTGCCAAGCTTTAATAGCGATCGCGAAGAATATTCCGCCTCTTCTCAAGACTATTCAAGGTGCTTCGATTTGGTGTATTGTTAGTGGTTTGCACTAAGCATTTATTGTAGATCGTCTGTTGGATCTTCTCTCTATTCTTCTGAGCGGGCAACCTTATAAGCCCCTGGGTGCTCCGCCATCTCTGGCGAGGACCGACATATCCACAATTACAAGAGATTTGAATGCTACTCAAATTACCGCAAATGATAAGAGCCCAGAGCTAATTACACTCGCATTAACGACTTTGGGAACCTTCGATTTTACAGGTAATTGCGATCCATTATATTATCATATGACTGGTGTCTCTTACACAACTTTAGGACATGTATTAAATGAGTTCGTCCGAAGTTGTGCTCTTCCATACCTGGAGGATGACAATGCCGAAGTTCGACGCGCAGCGGCCTTAACTTGCTGCACTCTCTTGTTCCGCGATCCTATCTGTTATCAGTCTAGCAGCCACGCTATAGAGGTCATCAGCGATGTATTGGATAAACTGTTGACTGTGGGTATCGCTGATCCTGGTGAGTTATATTCTCGATGTATGAAGATAAGCTATGAAACCTGTTCTACTAGATGCAACTATTCGTCGCACAGTCTTGTCCTCCCTTCATGAGCGATTTGATAAGCATCTGGCGCAAGCAGAAAATGTGCGGTCCCTATTCATTGCGTTGAATGACGAAGACTCCGACAACAGAGTTACTGCCGTTGGGTTAATTGGTCGTTTAGCTAAGCACAACCCAGCATATGTCATGCCATCTTTGCGCAAGGCATTAATACAATTGTTAACTGAATTAGAATACTCTACCGTGTTGTAAGTTTTTCGACTGTATTAAGCCGACAAAGACTGACACCACTTTCAGGCGAAACCGCGAGGAATGCACTCGACTCCTAACTCTTCTTGTCAGTGCCACACAACGACTTATCAAACCTTATGCTCTGCCAATGTTACGGGTGCTACTTCAAAAAGCCAATGATAACAATCCTACTGTTGCTGCGAACGTACTGATGTGTCTCGGGGAGCTTGCATGTGTAGGAGGGGAAGAAGCAATACCACACGTACCTGAATTGATGCAAGTTATAATCTCGAGATTGTCGGATCCATCCCTGATCAAACGGGACGCCGCGCTTCATACCTTGGGACAGATATGCTCGAGCACTGGATATGTTATAGCGCCTTTGGTTGACTATCCGCAACTGTTATCACTTTTGGGACGAATTCTGCGCACAGAGAGCGCTCAACCAGTAAGACGAGAAGTTGTCAAAGTTCTCGGTATCTTAGGTGCTCTAGATCCCTATAGACGAAAAGTAAAATATTTAGCATTCATCTAGTCTTCACTCGACCTGACAAAGTATTCATATACAGAGCCGCCCAGAAGAAGAGGCCGCCAGCGAGACGGCCATGACAGCAGGCAATCAGGTTCCAGTAACACAACATGTTGCGTCCTCAACCTCAGATGATTACTTCCAGACTGTTGTCATAACATCTCTCCTCGCCATCCTGAAAGACCAAGCTTTAAGTAGTCACCACCATACCGTGATCGAGGCAATCATGTCCATTTTCAAAACTCAAGGTCTTCGATGCGTGACCTTTCTTCCTCAAGTACGATATTTATATGAAGGTCCCTTCGATTTCTAATATGTTTTAGATTATACCGGCGTTTGCAGCAGTCACCCGAGGCTCGACAGCCAGAATACAAGAGTTCCATCTGCAACAACTTGCTATCCTTGTTAGTATCATCAAGCAGCATGTCCGTAACTACATGCCGGATATCTTTAGCTTGATAACGGAACTCTGGGAGAACCCGACCCTTCAATTACCTATTGTTTCCCTTATCGAGGCTCTTGGGAAAGCGCTTGATGCTGAATTCAAACCTTTCCTGCCAACCATACTCCCTTTGGTTCTTAAAGTCTTTGATGGAGAGACAAGCGAAAAGAAGATGAGCACGCAGATCAAGGTCTTTGACGCATTTCTGACTTTCGGTGCAAACATCGAAGAATATCTTCATCTTGTTATCCCAATCATCGTCAAGTCGTACGAGAGGGCAGATGGTACTACTGCTTTGCGCAAAAGAGCCATTCAGACAATTGATGGATTATCCCGACGCGTGAATTTCTCCGACCATGCATCTCGTATCATACACCCTCTGATCCGTGTTCTGGAATCGTCAAATAATGAACTACGAATGGCAGTTATGGACACACTGTGCTCTCTCGTCATTCAACTCGGATCGGATTTCGCCATTTTCGTGCCTACCATTAATAAGGTAAGCCATAACGTCTAGTGGATGGATATTGTTGATACAAATTATGTTTACAGTGCTTATTGCGAAACCGTATTCCTCATCCTAAATATGAGAATCTGATCTCCAAACTACTCAATGGGGAGCGTCTTCCTCAGGAAATGGGAATTCTCGATCTACTGTTTGTGCTACTTTATACTTTACCGCTATTCGTTCTCTTACAGACTCTTA